AGACCTACTGTTTGGAAGTTTTGAGAAATGACATTAAATCAAGTGACTGTGTCAGAGTTTGGTGGTTTGATGCTCCAGCTCATCATCCCCTGAGCATCTCACCTCTATCCGAGCCAGTGTCAGGGAAAGGGCAGCCCGGGGTCAAAGGTCACTGCAAGGAGCTAGGGGAACCTCTTGATTCACAACGTCAGCTTGAAGACATCAGAGCAGGGAGCCAGAGTGGCTTGATGTCAGTCAGACACAGAACAGGATTAAAAGGGCAATTCAGGGACAAGGAAGAGAACTAAAGGAAGAAGGAAAGACCTTGTTCTCTTTCCCCAGCAGCTTGGATTTGCCCATAGATAGATAGATAGATAGATAGATAAATATGGAGGTGGATAGAAGGATGTTCACAGACTGGACTGGAAAACACATGATGGATGAAGTCTGGATAATTGTAATTGACACGGCGCAACGCATTTCCAACAATTAAATGACAAAAGTGAATTTAGTAATTGTCAAGTGGAACTATTAATTGCCTGTAAAGACTTAAAGATGATTTATCTTTGATCTGACATTATGTTGTTGCCCATGTTGAATGTAGATTTAATGCTCTTCAAACAGGCTTTCCACACAAAATGTGAAATTGGTTCTCAGATGCTTTAGCCTGCAGGTCCGTGTATTGCCAGCTTCCAGACAGATGGAGCTTCAATTCAGTAATGAAAGTGATTTTAATTAGTTATCTCACAAATAACACCACTTCCAAATCAATGAAGCCCCACAGGGACACCAGAGCAACTGCATATGTAAACTTTTATAGATGATTAATGTGGTTGTTCTGTATGCGTGTGTGCGGCTGTAAGACGAGTGGAAACCTCTCTGTGACCTGATGTGTTTTTGAGAAAGAGGATTCTGGTCGTTTTAGCTTCAGTCGGTACATCTGATTAAAAGCGTTAAGTTAAGCCCCTGTACAGTAGGTACCACTGTGTACACCTATTTCCCGAATAGGACACAGTTTTACAGTCTTTACTTTCATCACATAAAAGCGCAAAATAAGAAACAAATAGCCTTAAGTAAGTCCGTCAGTAAATAAATACGTTCATGTGAGGAGATCCAGGATCGTGTACAATAAAATTAGACTTGATAGGACACATTAAAATTAATTGGCTATGTTGCCTATGTCAAAGGATTTATGGCGGTAAAATAGGCCTACCGTAAAGTGATATTGCGCTTTCTTCTGTCGGCCCAAACGCTCAAATACACCCGGGGTCACTGTAGGAATAGGCCTATTTCTTGTTTTCCATCTGTTAATCTAACCTCAATTATTTTGTTCTTTTTATTGCAACTAGCTTGTTTCATTTTGAAAATAGGATAACTTTTTTTCACCCAAGACTTGCTTTTCACAGTAGAAATGTGAGAAAAGCATGTCAAAATTATTTATAGGCCTAGAAAAAATCTAGAAAAAAAAATTGCCTAACAAAATATCTTTAAATTAAAGAAAAAGAGGGGAGGAAATGAGAAATGTAGGCTTTTTGGATGACAAACAATTACAACAGAGCTGTTTCAAATATCAGAACTGGATATTTATTATGTTTTCCGCTGAATTCTTGAAAACAAATGTAATAATCAAGACGTGATTCAGTCAATGGCGCAAAATTAATATATAAACTATCCGATGGCTCTGAGATACCAAATATTAGACTAGGCCTATATTTCAAGCCACAACTCTCATCACAAGTATTTAACAGTTTATTTAGGAGCAGGTGATTCTCTGAAATAATTGCCAGCACTTTGTGTTTGTACGTTTCCAGTTAGATTCATTAACAGACATAAAACATTAAACCATTTAACTCAAACAAACCAGTGTTTTAAAAATAACAGGAAAACAAGAGAAAAAGAAGAACTGACAATGTAGATTTCCATCGTCTATCGAGTGCGTTTCAAAGAAAAGTCAAACAGCAACAACAGGCGATATTCGGGATATTTTCCCCCTTTTCCTCTTTTCACAACTTTAAAGCTGTATCTCCGCTCTACGAGAGGCAACGATATCTTTGTGTGCTAAAGAAGGAGATGATGAAAGTGACGTTTTTGTTCTGTTTCTTTTTCTCTCTCTAAGGATGGACTGGACTGGAAACAGGAGGAAAACGAAGTCGCTTTATGTTGCCCGATTTCATTTCAACCCAAGAATGATCCCAAACCTCTTTGAAAATCTTCTGGATTTTTAAAATACAGTAAAGTAATTTATAAACGTAGCCTATATCAAGGCAACGTAATGGGGTTGAAATTAAATTTGTCGGGGATTATGAACCAGTTCGACATCATTATAGATTTGAGAGTGATAATTATGGGTTTAGAGCATGTCATTGAAAGGCTTCAAAAGCTGCAGTCAGCAGTTATTTCACATCACAAATAAAACTGGAGTTGGATGACCACGTCCTAGTAACCATTTCATTTATTAACATTCCGTTGTAATTCTCATAATTACATTGAATGATTTATTTATTTTACCACTCTGCTGTAGAAAAATAAGCTTAAAATAGGCCTATATTGCACAGACTTGTGTACGTGGCTCCTATTCAGTCCCTGGCTACATTAACACGGAACAGCTGGGAAGCGTGCGGCTGTGTTTACAAAACTAATGGCAGTTGCCTAACAATAGCTTTACATTTGACGTTATATAATTTCTTGTTCAATGCTGTTCAATCGTTCTCAGTATTTTTCAGAAGCGTCTACATCCTAAAAAAGGTTCAAATCAGGGACGTGCACAGGAATTTTGAAGGGCAGTTGCTCTGACCTGAAATATTAAAAAATATACAAAAAGTAAAAACACTTAAATACAGCACTCAATAACCTAAACTACTATTAATAACAAAACAGAAAAACATGACTCGAGTCATGAAAAAAGAGTTCCTTATATTATTGTTTATCGTTTTTTTTAAACATTATTTTTTATTTTTTTTCCTTTTTTTTTTTATTTGAAAATAAATAATCTAGATTGAATTGACAGATGGGGAAAACTCGCTTCTAATAAAATATTAAATAAAAAAACGCTTAGATTTCGGAAAAAAATACAATCCTTTTTTAACCTTTTGGCTTCCCGTACATTCAGTTGCGCTTCTAGCTCGTATTCACTTCTGTTGGTACGTATCACGTATGGTAACTGGGCAAAACTACGCATGATTTGTTGTAGTATGATTGCATAAAGGAAGGAAACAGGAATTCCGGTAGGGAACAGAATCGACTGACGTGCAGGCAGCGCTGCAGCAGTGCAGCCACTTAAACAGAGTTTGCCCTTCCCCTACTGACTTTCACTTTCGGTGCCCGAATGGAAGTGAATGAGGCTTTGCGATCGCGATTATTTTTGTTATTTTATTTTTTTTTCTCGGAAGGGCAACTTGAGTCAGGAAAGGCAAACGGGCAGTTGCCCGGGCAACCAGAGCAACCCCCCTGTGCACGTCCCTGGTTCAAATGATTTTATATTCAATATTAGCGACTACTGTATTGGTTCAGAAGGTTAACTTGCATCATAAACAAGGTACATTTCATCATCCCACAAAAAACCTTTAAGAAGAATATTTGGGTGGAACATTATCAGATAAATATTTAATTGTATAAGCCAGGCCTGCATATTATTTGCCATTAAGTGTATTCTATTAAGCCTTCTTGAAATCTGTAAACATCGTGATATTAAAGCTTCCTGTGGGCCTGAGCCTCCAGGTTATAGTTAGTCCTCACATGACATGCTGAATATAAATATTAAAAAAAAATACTCAAGAGTGATCTGATTGGCTACACGCTTTCATTCCTGAAAGCTGATTGGCTATAAGTCCAAACCGTGCTGCTGTAATGACTGTATTCCCCACAAACAGCAGAGGCACATTGCTTGTGACTTGAACCAATCTTAGAAAACTGACGTAAATACGGAAGCAAATGGAAATCAATTTGTGCAAGAGTGCTGGTAATTCTCTTGCTTGCAGATCTTAGCCTCCAACGAATCTCCTCCTCACACTCCTTGGCATTTTCTTCTGTTGGACCTGTATGTGTGTGTGGGAAAGTGCTCCATTGTTTTTTGCTGGCCCTTTGGCCAGAACACCCAGGGGCCGTCGAGCGCCCTGCTTCGTCCTCCTCAGGGTAAACTGTTGTGACAGAGCACTCAGGGGCCTCTCATTAGCTCTCTCTCCACTAAGAAGCAAAGAAGGTGCTTTAATCCTGTCTGTCCTCCTCAATCTGGCAACACAAATGCGATTATAATTCCATTCTGCTTTCTTGTCTTTTGCAGACTTTCAGACTACCTTTATGAATTAATCCTTATTAGCAAAAAAGCATGTTTGTAAAGAGGTGTTAAGTTAGGGGTCAATTTGTGTATTTCTCCCTGGTCTATTCCCTGTAGAACAATAATCCATTTTTGTGTTTTGGTTGTTGTTTCAGTCTTTACAAGGGTGATTAATATACAAAAAATTAAGTTGGTCCAATAATTGTTTAAAGAGTAAAATTCACACACAAAATCCAAAACCTGAATCTGCTTTAAAATTAAAATAAACACATCTGGCATGCAGGGTCAACAGTGTGTGTGTGCTGGTTGTTGAGCGTTTTGTCAACACTTTAAATATGTTTCCATTGGTTAACTGTCTCATGAAGCCCAGCGTAGCATAACTGCGGGAGAAAAGCTACATGTTTCCCTGCAGCAGGTCTTCAAATAAGGCAAATTCAAATAAATCTTGACACACGCATAAGGTCTGTCAATGGGAAGCAATTAGTGTGGTTAAAATATCTGATTAGTAACAATAGTATATAGTCAGAAACTGGCTCGAGAACACCAGACAGCTCTGCTTTCACTTCCTTTCATAGTTTCAGTACATCAACTCGTGCTCGCTCACACACACACACACACAGACACACACACAGGCATCACACACACACATACACAAACAGCACACACACAGGCACACACACACACGCACATTGTTTCTTCTTTTGCAAGTGGAGGCAGTCATAAACAACACAGAACTGAAATGGCAAAATAAACAAACAAATACACTTTATTTATAAATCTTGAGTTATAATTTAATACGGTACCAATATGTTAACCAATATGCTTTCACAGTACATCAGAGAGGTTGTCAAAAAGAAGTAAACACAAATACATGCTCTCTCAAAACACACACACACACACACACACACATACATACACACACACGCTTTCAGTTCAGCAATACCCTGCAGTGGCCTGTTGTGCCATTAATGTGGCCTGGGCTCATATATGCATGAATTATAATGAAATACATTTGTTACTTGACCTGGGAGGTTGTGTACAGTTAATTTATCCCATTGAGAAACTGTATTTACAGTATACATCAGGCCCAGTGCTCTTAAAATCTCTCTTAGACGGTCAGCGTAAAAACCTGGAAACGTACATGATTTAGAAGTGTTTGATAATGCATTCATCATTACTCCATTAATGTCATTACTTTTCCCCATAACATGTTAGCCACCAAAAGAGTAAAATTTTGATTCGAAATATAAAAATATCAGATTAACGTACAGCTATCTAACATTCAACCTCCTTCCCCTTATCTGTTTTTGCCATTAGCCTTGTCGTCATCTCTCAGTTTAGATGTGAAAAGTTTAATTTCTCTGAGTGCTAAAATTCAGTAATTTGATAAGAAATAAACATGATGTTGACAAGTTTCTGATTCTTCAAATGGAAAAAAAGTTTTTAAATTATGGCAAGAGGGAAAAATCACATCTGTATTAACTAACATATTTAAGGTAATATTAATGTAGTGTAATAGAAAGTAATGATTTTACCTATGAAAGGAGTAATACCTTACTTGGCGCAACATACACGGATCATATGAAGTGCATTACAAACATTTTTTGCTCTTGTTCTTAACTGTCCGTAACTGAAACAGAGCATTAATCTCACCTCTGTACACAATTGAGCAAATAGGTCAAATTTTGTGTTAAATCTTACTGAAATGTTCCTTTAGACCAAAGTGCCATGTCTGGAAGGTATGAAACAAAAACAAAAACATATCGACACAAGACAATCCCTGCAGTTTTCTCACTGGCCGGGGCAAAAATACGTAAAACATTTAAAAAAGGAGCCAAAACATAATTTACAAGCACGATAAATATACACACGGGGTCCAATAAATATTGTTTGTTATCCCAAAAATCTGTGAGTGGTCGACCCACTGCAAAAATTGTCCATCGTCATTTCATCTCATGAAACATTGTTTCTCTTTGAACAGGTAAAAAAATCTGCCAGTAGGATCAAATCATTGAGCATTGGCCAAATGGTAAATTTATTTCAGTAACCTTTCTAGACACATGCAGAGTAAGGCAGCTCGCTCCTCTGGTATCAAGAAAATGGTTGCTGACATTAAGAAAAATGATGAAAAGACATAATTGTTTTTACATTGCATGTGCCTGTAATTATCTCATTATGCTGGCAGTGTTTTTTCTTGTTCAAAACAACAGATTTTATGCCGCACTGAAATGACTCCATTTGAGGTGTGGGACCTGTCCTGACCTTGGTAGCATCACTGTAGCTTTTTCCTCTATTGAATCGGCATGTAAGGCCAGTTGAAGCTGCTTCCGGACAGCAACATGTCCCTTATCAGAGTTTCTATGGGGGTTTTCCCCACCAGACGAACGAAGAAAAGCTGCTCTATGACAGAGGAAGAGACGGTGCGGAGGGAAGGCAAGCGGAGCAGCAGCTTCCCAAACCTGTTAGGCTGGTTGGGATACTGGCTCCTCACATACTCCTCTAAAGCACACTGGGATTTCTCCTGCAGACCCTCGACATGGGCCATGTCCGACAGACCACAAGCATCTACAGACAGAGAGAACGACAGCGAGACAAAAAAGAACCAGGAGAAAAAGCAGTCAAGACCAGTGGGTCAACCAAGCATCGGAAGGACGGTCAGCTAAATGAGGGATAGTTTAATGTTGCAGTTATTTCATTAACTAGGTTAACACAGAGTGACTACAATACACAGCAACGTAGGGAGGACAGGACCGGTCAGTGGTTGATGAAGTGTTGTAAGTCAACTATGATCATCACAAGGCAAAAAAACATCAGGCCTAAGAACCCAAAGTGCATTATAGCAGATTTGAATGTATTTTTTAAACTTGAAATAATTTACTTACTAGCCTATATCACTGATTAAGGCATTAAAGCATTTATGACTGGCTTCAAAAAGTTTATCATTTATAATAAGCTGATCTGAGTAAGTCTGGGTGATATAGTAACATAAAGCAGGTACATATAACACCCACCGTCACCAATTTTTAACAATAAATTAATATATGTCAGCGAGACATGGTCAGGCAACAATGGATAAGCACAAAGGTGTCAAAATGTAATACATAAATCAGACAAACCTCTGCATGATGGAAAAATAATCACTATAGTTGCCCTGTTGTTGAGATAAAATGATATCTCATCAATCTCATGGCATCAGGTATCAAAGATGGTGCTATTTTACCATCAAATCTAAAAAATGGTGTTCAGAACAAGAAATAAAGAAACAGTATCAATGTGTCAGAGCACACTCAGAGTGTCAAGTGCTTTACTGTATAAGACCTTTACCTACTGTATGTTCAGTATTTCTAGGAGACCCCTCAGTTTGTACTGTAATGCTGCAGGCTGGATGGCAGCAGGGGTTAAAGAACGGTCTCCGTGTCCCAGTTTAAAGACACGTGCTCTGATGTGCTCATGGGGACTGAAATAGACCTACATAAGAGACCTTTTTTTTTTTACTATGCTGCTACTCATCCTTTTGGTCCTGTTCATGATACAGCTGTCAAGCATCATTCTGACACTTATTCAAAGGCTCTGGAATAACTAATGCATTTTGCAATCCACAATTTCACTTCAGTAAAGGTCTTTTTGAAATAATTAGTTGTAAGCCAAATTCAAAGGTCTAACAATTTAAAGATATCACAAAAATAAATATATCTATTTGTATTTATATCTTTGGTAATTTGTGTTTAAAGCAATGGTAAGAATTTGTTATAAAAAATTTACATTTCTCCTATTTAATTATTTAATAAATAAATAGATGCAAAATTTAAAGCCTGCAAATTAACTTCAGTTAATTAAACTGCTTTCTGTTCAAATAAACTGATAAAACAGTAAAGTTTTTAAATTTTTTTATAAAATATTACATGGCCTTAAACGTTAGATATCCAGCCCTGTTTGTTTTTTTTCGAGGGCTACTGCATGATTCATGCAGTGTTTCATATTTGGGGGCAGCAGGAGTTTGATGCAGTTTGTAAACCCACCAAACTCACTCACAGCCTCTTATATGTTATAATAATAAACTTCATAATACTTCTTTAAGGGCTGGCAAACTGTATGAAGTCATTTACATGCACGGTGGAGCCTAGAAAAAATGTTCTGTTAAAATGTTTTTTTTCTTCTCTTTCTTTTTAGGCTTTTAAAATGGCTTCATAATGATTTGGAAGTCAGAGTTTTGGTCAAATTGAAATTTGCAGGAAAATACGTTTTGCATCAAATAATGCTTTTTACTATTTTTTTTTTACGGACCCATAACACCAAATATGCGCATTTCGCGGAAATATACATTTAAGTAGGCTTAAATACATATGTTATGCCTACATAAGTTCTGAAACGCATTTGTGGTTTTCCTAGAAAGGGACACATTTCTGTGAAAAGCTTTTTTGGGGTTTAAACCAGCTTTTTATTTCCCACCAATATTCAGACCGTCATCATTAAACAGTCGTTTTCTGAAAATATTTATTATTTAAAGCATAATTTATTGTTTTTCCGTTTTGGTCTTTTTAAACGCTTTTCTTGACAATAAAAATGTTCATAGTTGACGTTTTATTTTCATAGTGATGTTTTATTTAAAATATCCTTATTTAGTTCGTATGCCTGGTGGTGGTTTGACAGGATCATTTTCTTCACTATCACACCACTGTCCACACGTCAGTGTACGGAGAGAAGCATTTGCGAAAAAGCCACCCCGGCGTCCATGTTCGGACAAGCGAAAGACAGTTTACCTGTGGTGAACAGCACGATGGCTTTGATGCAGCTGTACTCTGCTGAATCCACGTGCAGCACCTTGAGCTTCTCCACCTGGTCCTGGAATACCCGATGTGGTCCATGAAGGCCACCACCCGGTCCGCGGACATCGGGGACGCATGCAGGCCGGCGGCGGCCAGCAGCGGGGCGACGTGGACGGGCATGGAGCACTGGGCGGCGTTCAGGACGAACAGTTCGCTCCAGGTGAGGCGGAGCAGGGCCACCTGGTCCGTCACCTGCAGGTCCGGGAAGAAAGGGATGTTGCGGGCCCACTCCACGGCGCTGAAGAGCATCCGAGCCGCTAGCTCACAGATGTTCTCTATCCCCATAATGTTGTTGCCCTGCAGGCACTGAGAGCCGAACCTGGAGGTCGGGTAGGGCTCGGCCCGCAGCAGGAGAGAGATGTATCCCGATAGATAGGAATGGCACTGTAGAGGGTCTCCGTTTGTCAGCGCAAACTGGCCGTGATAAGACTGGGTAGGAAGTCTGCCTCTCTGGACAGCTGCAACGAAACAGCAGAAATGTCAGATAGCGCTACAAGGGGATTAATACAGCCCAGATGACATTTAAAGAAAAGCAGTTAAACGCAGGAGATGTCTTGTAAAGTAACAGAGATGTCATTTAAAACAATAGAACATCTAAAACACACACACACACACACACACACACACACTTACATTAGAGTTCATTTCTAAGGCTAATTGTGGCATATGGTGGACTAGTTCTTCAGAAATGGACACGAAAAGGCCTAACTGTTTTAGACAGCTCATGGAAATAAGCTCGATTGCTCGGGAATCTGTTTCTAGGCCACGACCTGCAGATAATGGCGCACGAGATTTTTTGTGGGTCTTTTAAGGGTCTTAAATTATTTCAAATTGTTTAAAGTCGAGGCCAAAACTGTCGCATTTGTACCCTTGAGTCATTGCTTCTAACCTAGCTATTTATGGCGAGTAACTTCATTTGTAGCCTACTCAGTTTTTATGTTTTGGTGTTGGAATCTGTAGGCTATCCAACTTCATTCACATTTTTCTAGCTTATAGAACTGTTCTTAAATAGCAGTTATTCCCGAAGAGGTAATCGTAGGCTACAGTAGGTTACGTTGGGCCTGTAAGACCAGCATGCGTGATGAATTGCCTTCGAGCAGACACACTCACACTCAGTCCACATGCGCAAACACATTATCTACCAAAAACGTCACTCTTTTGAAAGCTTCAATTTAAAGGGGAAAAAAAGCATCGGCATTAGACTAAAATGTAGCAAAATGACATTCGACTTTGGACATGTGACATTTAAAGCAGCTGCGTGCTTCTTCAGTCACACAATAGCCACGACGGACATAAATCGGGCGAATAGCAACAGTAACTAAACATGCTACGAGATGCTAGCTGGAACACACTAATCTCTGTGAGATCACAGGCCAGGCAGGAATAGAGACTATCCGAGACAAATTGTCCAATATGAATATATGAATAGGCGGAAAAACACATCTCTTCAATATCACGGACTAGACAAAGGCAACACAAATGGCCGTGTCCAGGAGGAAATTTTGTAGACATTAGCAATACAAATGTCGCACGCACTGAATATATAGCAGTTTACTGGACAGACATGTGAAATGTCAAAGAAAATAATGTCGATAATTTGGGAGCATTTGCCTATGTGAAACTAAACCGTGTCCTGAACCTTGTAGTACTGGATAATATGATGTGATAATACCGATAGCAACAACAGGAGGACGCCAGCCCGTACCTTCCCTCCTCATCCCGACTTTGAGGCATTTCTTGAGGCGACAGTACTGGCACTGGTTGCGGTGGTGCTGGTCTACGGGACAGTTCCTGTTGGCCCTGCAGGTGTAGGACAGGTTCCTCCTGACGCTGCGTTTAAAGAAGCTCTTACATCCCTCACACGTGAATTGTCCGTAGTGCTTCCCGCTGGATTTATCCCCGCACACGATGCACTCGATTTGCTGGCTCTGGTGTTTGTCCATGGAGGAGGAGGAGGAGGAGGAAGAGGACGTGTTGTTGTTATTGTTGGTGGTTGTCGCGGTGGTGGTGCTGGATGGATTGGGCGGCGGTGCGCCCTGGGGTGCTGCTGGGGGTATTTCCAGAGATGATGCCGGGTTCATGTGTCCCGCCAGCTCCCCGGGCAGAGACAGAGGTGCAACCTGGGACACCGAGGAGGAGAGGGTCCCCTGAGTGTCCCCGACCCCCTCGGCGTTTCTCCACGCCACCATAGCCATATCGACCGTCTCCAAAACTTTGCGCGCCCAACTTTCCTCTTTTTAAGCTTTAATTAACCCACACGATTTTTCTGCATGAATTACCAATACACGTTCAAGGAAACCGCTGCATTGTTTGACTACAAAATTAAATAGCCTACAGGTTACGACTCAAATAGAGCCGGTAAGATAACGGCAAAATAATTCTAACGCTCCACTTCACAAGTAAGGAATGTCCCCCAGTCTGTCACCCACAAACAGCTTCGGCGCGTTGGAAATCCAAAAAGAAAGCGTCAGTCAGGCCGAGAATATGCACTTTAACATCCACAGGAGGGGGAAATAAAGACACATAACCCGGAGCCAAAATCCACTGAGGAAAGCAACGTTATCCCAAAATATACAATCTGATCCTTTCTGTCCTGTATGTCCAGCTTTAAACAGAATACCATGCGAGCAGATCCTTCATCAGAGATGTTGTCACCGGACCAGGCTTTCCAGACGCTCCCTGTTCTCCCGATCAGTCAGAAGTTACATTAAAGACAACAGAAGAGAGAGAGAGAGAGAGGGAGAGAGAGGGAGAGAGAGAGAGAGTAATGGATGGTGATTTTGATGATGCTTTGCTCCGGGACGGAGGAGGAGAGTGGTGCGTCCACACGTCACGGGCTGTGACTCGGTGACGTCTGCGTTTGGGGCGGGGTTTACAAGCTCCCGGAGCAGCGGCGTGGGGCTCCAGTTGGATTTCTACTGATACACATTGCTGAGTGTGGAGACAGCACGTATCTTCCCCTGATCGTTTCCGTTTGCCTTCTCTCTCTGTTTGTGTGTGTGTGTGTGTGTGTATTGCACAGTGATTCTGTCAGGCTATTGTCTGTGTCAAATATAGCCTACATTTAAGGAGAAGACATACTTCGGCTCACACTTTATTAGTCACACATGAGGAGTGCATGAAGCGGATCCAACTGCAGTAATTTGATGCCACCTAGTGTCATCAGTAAATTACACAGAAAATTACCTTATAGCATAGACTTAGGAAAACTGGCTTGAGGAGATACATGTAGCCCACTACATTTGTAATGAATTGTCCTCAACCTGCATGTTATTTAAAGTGTTCATCAGACATACATGGAAGTATGTTTGATTAAATTCTCCCCTGATACCTCTGTGGCAGAAGCCTGACTGTAAGTTTGCATGAATGTACTTTTCTCCATGTTTTTCATATGTCAATAATTTTATGGGGTTTCCATAATATTTGTTAATACATTTTTACATCTACTTAATTTCAATTTGACCAAGGAGAGAAAACTTCTAGGATACTGTGTTACTGCTTTTCATCTCTAACCCTACCATAGTTCAAAATTTCCCTTGCTTTAATTGAATATTTTAAAAATAATAAGTCAGGTCAAATACAAAGAAAAACAATTTTTGCACAGCCAGGTGTCATGTGTTTAAAATCAATATGAAATGTATTAGGCTAATCTTATCTACCACCACTACTAAAATATATTAGTAGCTAAAATTAAAGGCACTGCCATTCCTACAGTGACACAGAGATACACTGGAATGATTCAGCGCACACTTTGTATTTTTCCTGTTTAAGATCTAATGTGTGTATTTGTGCTACTAGTTGCTCTGATTGTAGATCTGTAGAAATTAAACACTTCTTTGCACTTATAAGATCGCATGCACTGTGTTGTCCTCTTGTCCCTGTCCCTCCAAATACAGTTTTAGTTTTAGCTCCTGATGTGTTTCTGCACCGGCGTCAATGACTCTAATTCCTGTCCATTTTTTTTAATTCAATGATGAAATTATCTTGATGTTCATGGAGACTCTTGGTAGAAAGTCATCAGCACATGAAAATGTCTGCATGGCCATTTCACTGTTGACTCATGCTCCATGAGTCCTGAGGCTGAGTGTACCGTCATGTTCTTCCAGACGGCCAGCTTTGCAGTCATCCAATGACTGCTTACACACAAAACGAGCTCTGCTCTGCCTGCTAACAAAACACACGGCTGACGTCCAAGACCAATCAACAGTGGAAGGTCAAGGCTAAAGTGTTTACCACACTGGATGGCGATTATGCATTCCTCCACACTTTAATTCATCCAATGACAAGTCCAGTTAACATTAATCACAGATTTGGGAGTTTAAAGATAATAAATCCCCCCTGATTTTGGCGATCTGGTGCCCTTTAAGACTTATCACATATGAGGAGCTAAAAGCTAGCTAATTGGAGACAAAGTGTGGCAGAGTATGGCCAGCAGAGACCTGCTGTGTGTGCAAGACCACCAGGATGTGACTGTTTACAGCACAGTGAGAGGCAGCGCTGGCTTGCTGCTCAGTGATCTGCAGCATTTTTTTAGGCTTCAAGGTGGCTCCATAAGCATATATCGTTGAATTACAGCTCCTCGCTAAGCTCTTTATCCCCTCTAACCAACCAGTGGTACCATATGGTTATCTGTTAAATCCACCAAGTGTTTAATATTTGGACAGATACCGTAAAAATACCACAGGTCTGCTCAAGGTGAGAGAGATGGGGCAATGACAGCCTCTGTGCTCATTCACTGGAGGAAACTTAAAGAGGAAACACACATACAGGAGAAAACAACACTTCAGAATGAAAGTATTAGAGAGTGTGCTTTTAGAATTGTGTATTTTATGGTCTTCTAGGAAAATGCACCACTATTCTTGGAATTTAGAGTTAATGGGCGTGGTGTAAGCTCATTATGCTAATGAGATTATTGGTTGTAAAAGTACACTGCAATGTCCTTCTAGTGGTTTGGCAAAGCCTCAGTGAGCCTGCAGATCCAGGAATGCCACAACCCTGACCTGTAGACCACATCTAGGTAAAGGAAACACATGGTTGTACCGGAAAATCAAACAACAGCATTTACTACTCTAATGGTTATTTATTGTAAGTTACACAGAAGTGCATGTGTGAATGCATTGTGTCATGTGGTGTAAAACAAATAACCAGAATCAAACCAAACCCAGCAGAACAAAGGTGTAGCACATGTGAGAGAGAGAGAAAGCTCGGGGATGGCTGATCTTAAATGCATGCTGGGAGACCAGGTGCAGCCAGTAGCACAATCACACACTTTGCCTAACAGGACCTAAAGGGAAGACAAACACACAAGCACACAACCTGAGCACTACACTACCAACAGGCTGAGCAGAACCAGGGGGCTGTCACCCACCTTGAAAGAAGGAGGGGAAACCACATAACCTATGTAGGTTAAGCTCATGAAGATCAAATAATAATTGGCCATGTTAAATTGCAGCATGCAGGTGCAACACTGGAATCCACATTCACATCAAAATGCTTTACAACCCAGATTAAGTAATTGTGATTTACACTACATGCAGTACATAATTATTATTATTATTATTATGGGCTAAGAGGATATAAATGTGACACCCACGCAAGCTGACTACACCTCTAGTCAGGTGGATGTTGGATGGAGCTATGCTGGAAATTACTTTATGTCACTAAACTCTATGACCTAATAAGAATGATAAATGTATGGTTACATTACATTACTGGCATGCAAATGTTCTAAAACTAACACGAGACTGAGGAAGACGTCAATCAGCTGCCATTGGTACATGCCCACGCAGTCCTGAGGGAGGCCTAACCAGGCAGCATACAATGAACAGAATTATAAACGCAACACTTTTGTTTTTGCCCCCATTTATCATGAGCTGAACTCAAAGATCTAAGACTTTCTTTATGTACACAAAAGGCATATTTCTCTCAAATATTGTTCACAAATCTGTAAAAACCTGTTAGTGAGCACTTCTCCTTAGCCTAAGACACACCTGTGCAATACCCATGCTGTCTGATCAGCATCTTGATATGCCACACCTGTGAGGTGGATGGATTATCTCGGAAAAGGAGAAGTGCTCACTAACACAGATTTTGACAGATTTGTGAATAATATTTGAGAGAAATTGACCTTTGTTTACATAGAGAAAGTCTTCGATCTTTGAGCTCATGATGAATTGGGTCAAAAACAAAAGTGCTGCGTTTATCATTTTGTTCATTGTAAGTGAAAACACCTGTTTGCGTCCACTTTGGCGGACTAGGGCCTTTAAGACTACAAGTAATTCTGAAAGTTGTAGTTTTATGTTAAAAAATGTTATGTTTTATATTCAAAGTTAAACTATGATTAAGTAAAGGTGAAGATACTGCTACGAAGATCATGTTTTGAATCACGTTTTTAAATGAACGTTAACCTTGGTAGCAATTCAAACAAAGCTGGAATCTCTTAGGCTGCTAAGCATGGCCAAATCCTGAGCAGAGGGCAACAATAACTCATCAGTTAGGTTAGTGTACTTCAGCCCCTGCTTCACTTGTGACTGCTGGACCACCTCTCACCTTTAATTAACCCAAGACCGCTGACCTTTGACTCCTTCAGGGCTGCTGTGGCATTCACCATGAGAAAAATGTCATGCTTGAGAGACACATTGTGCTATAGATCATTGCGCAGTGATAACGCACCACCAATGATCTTTCCAGTTGTGAACAGAGCCAACCTGGCAGAGTATAGGGATCCTCATTAGGACTTGTGCAGAGCCCTTCTTAGCCTTTGACCTGACAGACTAGAACTCATTATCTGGCCCAAGATTAACATAGCTGAGTAAATGATCAAAATACATACAGCTCAGCCTTGACTGGAGACACAATCTTTACAGTGGAATAAGACAGTTTGTGTGTGTGTGTATAATTGCCACTATAACGTGGGGAAAGCAGCTTTAAAAAAAAGAAGAAGGAAAACACACCTTTTTTACTTTTTACTTTTATATACAGTAAATTCAAATTACCTTGCTTTACAGCTAGCTAATATTAACTTGCCAACGTATATTACTCCAGACTTGGATAAACTGTTACCATAACTAAGTGGTTTAGTAGCTTAGTTTAGCTAGCTTTGTAGCTAAGACGTGTCACTTAGAGAGACTCAGAGCTCTGATATTTGATTGATAATTTGAAGATAAAATTAGGTAAACATTACAAACGTTAAATAATGTTGGTGTGGAATTAAAATAATTATTTAGAGCAAGATTATGAAGTTATTTGAAGTATTTTTTAACACAAACTAATTTTCTAATACGAGTCATTTTTGACCCACCTACTGAAGAATGGAGATTCCAATGATCTATGTATTTAGGGTTAATGGAGTGTTTCAACATCTGCTATGTCAAGTGTTTTTTCTTGTTCGGTTAAAGCATGACTGTAAAGAGGGCAGGATCTGGTGTTTCAAGGAAGTTTCCATGTCCTTGATCTGTGGCCACTGCAGGGAGGTGATGCTGGGAAGTTGTGATGTACTGGATGTTACATTGGTTCAGACGGCTGTGTGAAGGCCAGAAGGGACATGGACAGTTGGAGGCTTGTCTGAATGACACAGAAACTCAAAAACATACAGTCTGTCTTGGTGCTTTTCAAGGTCAAATGGCATGAAAGACTCTAATTCAGAGAGACTGTCCCTTTGCATCTGTCTGCTTTTGGGTAACTGTTGTAGTTTTCTAAGAGGATGGGAGGCAGGTTGCATGTGTAGTCCTTTTAAAGCATTAGAAATTATGCATGGACAATTGGAGACAGCATAAATGGTTTTATTTTGGTGTTTAAGTGATGAAATGGTGAGATTTTACAGCCACTGATCTCTGGACCACCCTCTTAGCATTAACTTGGTTCTACATTTTCGAAGGCAAAAACAAACCCAAACCTTCTCAGTTTTCTACCACAGGACCAAATGTCATTCAAAGCAAAGGCCCTTCTTTTGTCCTTCACAGCAGCACATTTCCTCAGACTGAGAACACTGTACGGTATTTTGATTGATCATGTATTTGTATCTATTCATAGAGGCCAGATTCATCATTCCAATTTGTCAAGTTGCTGGGGTGCTGAGTTAATTATGTGCGGGAGAGCCACAACAGAGACAACCTGTTAAGACTCATCTGAGGTTTCCCTACCTCACCTCAGCTCCAAACGAGCAGCCAAAGCTTAACTGGGCTACAGGAGCTGCTTGGCACCATGGGTAATTAGTGTGATGAATGCTTTAGCGGAACAAATAGTGGCAGTCGCCTGTCTTGCTCATCGTGTGGCTGTGCTGTCGTAGCTCAGGGGCTGCGAGCTCATCAGGGTAATGGATGATTCTGCAACTGGACCATCCCTCAACCAAAGCACCACTACTGAGCTTTACAGTTTCTTTTCTGTCTGAAACAGTACTTCTTATGTTCCTGAAGGCATCTATGCTGGTTATGGATGTCAAGAAGTGCATGTTTGGAAGGTTACTGACAACCAATAACAGTTTATTCTGGAAAAATGTAATCAAGAAGGTCTTTTTTAAGGTCTGAACAATGGAAAGGTATTGGAATGATGTGACAAATCATTATAAATATGTTTTTTTTATACACAGCCTCACAGGACTGCATATATGGATATGCAAACATCTTCTTACTAATCCTCTATGGGATACTTTTCCATGCCTGGGGTAGGGAGCCGCCACTGCTGAAATGATGGATCACATTATTAGATTAGAGGAGAGCAAGGACAGCCAGCAACTCGAATTGCAATTCACAGCCTCTTCTGTATATGGACCTTTTCTACATGAAAGGGATAATTGGGCCGTTGTCACTGAGTCAGAGATTGTTTTTTTTAACAATGCGGGGAACCTTGCAATAAATCAGCTGTCAGAGCCACGTCACAAGACAAGGCATTTGTCAAATATGCAAAATAATCATTTTGCATACAATGTAAAGAGGAGTACATCATCATTTATTTGAAGTGAGGAAAGTCCAGATTTCTAAATTTTTCCAGCAAATGAAGGGCATATGGTGATATTGTCTGCTAGATGAACCTCAGGGCAGAGGCAGCCATGAAGGTCTGGCTTTTTGTGTTGTCATTTCAGTACTAGCTAATGGCCCGTGCTTACTCTATGCCTTGACTTTTCAACCCGCTGTGACAGTGAATAATATGCGGCACATAAGGATGAATCCTCAGCCATGTCATCCATGTAGCAGAAGCTGAATAGGTTGGCTGCCACAGACAGGTAATCCATAGCTATAAAGGTAAAAAAAAAACATCACAAGTTCAGTGAATTGTTTCGATAGCAGCCAGACCCACAGCTAACAGAGCGTGAAAGACAGGCAAGGTCGTGGAAAGGTTATTCCTGGGTCCAGGAGGTGAGACTTTGGGGATGTGGACACGTCAGTCCAGCAGAGTCCTCGGGTCAATGTGAAGACAAGTGGAAGACACATTTCTCTGTCAGCACGCAGAGAGGCCGCACGGGCTCAGGCTTTTGTCGTGAAGTCCCAAGTCATTGAGTCAATAGCCAAGGAACATGACACAACCTCTCACAGTCACTCGGCATCAAGCGGAACAGGGAATGGCATGCTTTCCATTTCACTGCACCATGGCCCCGGCAAGACCCCGTCTGCACTCGAGAAACAGGAGAGGTCTCAGCCCCAGCTCTCGCATAAAAGCAACGCCGCAACCTGGCCCCGAACACGTACATCGCTCCCTCGAAGCAGCAGTACAAGGTGATCCACCGGTCAATCCATAACCCCGGCTATTATCTCCACTGTCTGTTGTAGCGCGGCAGGGAGGCCTGGGGATAACCAGAGGGCTTGGATGACAGGAAATTAGATCATGGCAAAGCACAAGCACATTTCGATTAAACTGATGTCAGGATTTATCTTCTTCTGTCAGTGCGTTTAGGCGGGAAAAGAAATGTGACCTTTCACCCTATCTGATCAAGCACAGACCAACAGTCCTTTATCACAAGCCTGGCTCAATGTCATACAGCAAACCACATCATATTGTCTGTGCATGACAATATCTAAACTAATAAAATTAAGGATCTTGTATTCTTCATATCATCATCTAATGCAGTGGATGCATTAATCTAATGTAAGTAATGCAATCTTTTGGGATAGCCATTTAATTTTGAACATTTGTACATTTACCAGAAGATGAATCCTACTGACTTTGGCGATCCCATTACTTTTTTTTCCTATTGCAGATGAAGTTGACATTTGTGGTTTTCAGCCAGATTTCTCAACAAATATTGAATGGATTGTCATGAAATTTTGCTCAAAAATTCATGCAGGATGAATTGCAATAATTTTGGTAAACCCTTAGCTTTCCATCTGGTACCATCATTTGGTGCACATTTGAATTTGTCTACTATTTTGTAAACTAATGACATTACCATCAGCCTCAGCTGAGGCCTAATTTGTGCTTAACGCTAATTAGCAAATGTTACCATGCTAACACACTAAACTATGGTGGTGAACATGGTAAACATTACCTGCTTAACATCAGCATGTCACTGTGAGCATGTTAGCATGCAGATGTTAGGGTTTGGCTGAAAGCCTCAAAGAGCTGCTAGCATGGCTGCAGACTCTTAGGCTGCATTCAGAACTGTATATTAAAATACTATTTATACTAATTATGACATCAAATTGAGTATGTACTGTGTTCCAACTGCTTAGTATGTAGATTTTGTTTGAGCTTACCGGACATACTCAACTGCCCCAAAATGCATTACGTCTCTTCAGACTGTGCAATAATGAACATGTGATGCAGTCACACGATATTATGCTGGTAATAGTATACTTAATGGTTCATTTAGTAGACAATATGCAATACATACTGATTGAGTAAGTAGTAAACAGTATGTTAGTATGCGATTTTGAACACAGCCATAGTCTTGTTCTGCAGAACTAATCATTTTGACATTTGGTGAAAAATATTTCTGGCTGTGGCGCAGGTATTTGATTGATGAGTTGATGTGATTCTGGCATACTGAATATGAAAACTGATAATTCAGTGGTGTGAAAAACATCTTACAATGACAATGAGATCTGATTAACCAGGAAATCATCATAGGTTTGTTGATAATAGTCAGGCAGAAAAGGTCATATTAAAAACAAAAATAGTATATTTAATGTATTTACAATAAACATACAATCATGTAATCCTTTCCAAGAAATATACAGAACATAAAGCTTTTAAATATAAATTCATATAATTTAAAGAAAAATAAAACAAACCCAAAGAAGCAATTGAGCATATCCAAAAATCTTTAGTGATGCTTTGAAAATATAGGTGATATTTTCTTATTTCAATGCCCTTTTCTTTTCAAAGGTACCCCTGCAAAGAGCCATGAAATTCACACATTGAATACCACCCACAACATAAGCACATAACGCATCACTCTAAAACCGTCACTAACATGGTTAGCACATGGTTTCACTTTAATCAAAGGCAACATGCTGCCTAAAGGCTCAAACCAAAGGATTAACTATCTGCATACGAAGAGTTTGCTTCCAAAATAACATCCATCATTTACAAAACATCTGTAACAAATACTTAACAGCAACAAAAACAAATTATGGGCCTATTTACAGGACAAATCTCCACTGATGCCAAAATGTCTCTTGAATGATAAACATTAGGACTATTTTGCCCAGAAATGTTGTATTTCGGCAGTAAACTCTTCATATGGCAATATGTCTGTCACTAAAAATCCGCTATAAAAGTCAACCTTCTGTTACCACAAGGCAAGGTCGTCAAAAGAGGATAATGAGAAAAATAGGATGTAAAAAAACATTTATGCTCCAAAGTTATTTTCTCATCACAAGGCAAAACAGTCCTGTCGCCGCAGGTGAATACAAGGTCAAGCAAGCGCTGTCACACTTGCCAGCACGTTAGACAGACCTAGAATAAGTTGGCTTCTTCTTCGCAAGTGTTGAATTTTACAGTGCACAGGTTGATATGGCACAACATAGGCTCCCATCAGAAAGTCTCAGAGTAGAGCTTAATATCCAGGCACAGGTGCAGGACTGCTATCAGTGACATTTTCTACAGTCAACCTTATCTACTGTACAATGTCAGGCAATAGCTTAACATTGGTGCCACTTATTTCAAGCAAAGTATTGTTTTTATTTGGACCAAAGCAACAAACAGTTATCAGCTTTGCCATTGATGGAAAGAGAGATTAATCTAAATTAGACAATACCTTCACTAGTAGAAAAGTCCTACATATTAACAGTTATTACATCCTAAATAATACTGTTTTCTAGACCCATATACAATATTTTATAGGCAATATGTTTTTGGGACACTTTTGTATGATATGGTAAAAGTAAGTGGAGGGATATCACAGAAAGGCTACATACAGCTGGAGGATCTGCTCTGAGCTCCAGCGTGTTGAGACAAAGTTCTCTGCAGGACATTACAAAACACTTCTATGGTGTCACTTTGGCACTTGTATGGCACTATTATATACACAGGAGTCAGCACTATGACACACGGGACGTTACAGTTATCAAAGACAGCACCGCCTATTGGGGGTTGCTGAGGAGGAGATGCCGGCCAGCTGGTAATCTTAGTGAACACCCTCCTCTCTGATAGAAGCTTCCTTTTTTAATTGTTTGTACATCTTAGCATAATGTCTGGCTGTCCTGAATGTCCTGCCAGGAGCCAGTCCTCCCATCAAGGAGGGAAACAGTTTCAAACACGTCCTAATCAGTGCCCCAAAAATTCTACCATTTTAGGAATTTAAGTCACACCGCAGTGCTTAAACTCGGTTTGGCATGGCTCTGTGTTGAATGTAGGTCCTTAGTAGATCTCCAACATCCTCTAACAACTCATCTGTTCTCCCCATTTGATATAATATTCTCTTTATTATTTATGATGCCGAAGCACCATCAATGTATAGTTTAAATCTAATACTGTTAGTTCATTGAAGTGCTAAACTAAATAAATCATCATTATACATTAAGTGTGGATCCAAAACCATGTCCACCACAAAAAAGTACTCATAAAACATGAGTGGCAGCATTAAAAGAAACTGAATCATGGAAGGGTTTTAAGTGGCTTTAACTAACTTAAAATAACATTTTAGGAAATATACTTACTTGCTTTCTTGCCAAGAGTTAGATAAGAAGATTGACAATATGCTCATGTTTGGATATATGACGCTACAATCAGCAGCTGGTTAGCTTAATTTAGCACAAAGATGGAAAACAAAAACAGCTATCCGGTAACAAAATCCACTTACGAGCACCTCTAAAGCTAACATATTAACAACTTATATATCTTGTTTTTTTTGGGGGGGGGGGGGGGGGTGCACAGGACCATATCTTGGCGGTGCACAGTGACTTCCTGGAGTAACCCCCCATCTGTTGCTTTTTACACTTTGGTTTTTGTGTGGATTACACAAACGAAATAAAACATGTTATTAACTGAGCTTTACAGGTCTTGATAGGTGGATTGTTTAACTTTTGGACAGATCCATGGCAGCTGTTTCCCCCTATTTCCAGTCTTTACGCTAAGCTAAGCTAAATGGCTCGACAAGAAAGAGAATACACATATTTCACAAAATGTACAACTACTCCTTTAACACCCAACATCAAAGGGATTATACATTTTGGAAATAAAATCTATGGTAAAGGTAAGTAGCTCAATAAAGGTCCACATTTTTGATGCAAAACATATTAAATACTTACAAAGTAAGCCAGAAAAAAAGAATATATTCTCTATATCAACTGGATATGTCAAAAATCAGAATCCTATAGAATTCCTAAAAAAATAAAAACCAATTTGAAAAAAACTATGTTTAGACAATCACTGCAGTGTGAGTGATTATGAGTCAGCTGAGGTTTGCTAAAAGTGGTCAACATCACAATGCAGTATGCATTATAAAGCTTTTCCGTGGTCTAAAATATAATTTGGAAGCCATTCGAGTTAAATATGTATTTAACCATTATCATGGCCACAAAACCACGGAGTCTGTGCATCTTAGTGACATACTGAATATTTCTTTTTTAATTACTGCATGCATTACCAACATGCTTTTAAATGAACTAATTCTGGCTGGACACTGTGCGTCATGCTATGCTGTGTCTCCTGACAGCTAGCCCACCACGATCATCATGTCTCACTTCCTTGACTTGGCGCTCTACTTAAATGCCTTCACACTCTCAGCATGTACGCTCCTGTGAGCTTTGCTGCTGTTACTGATTCTATTAGTGAAGGCCTCCTCCCCCACAGCCTCAGCCTGCTTTGGCACTACTACATACATGAACTCTGGAGAGTTTTATTTGCTATGTTCCCAGCTTGTTATTTATCATGTTGCTATGTATTCCATGCATTACTGCTGCAGGGGGCGTCCCCAAGAGTAGAATTACACCACCAAGTCAAACTGTATTTCTGTCTCCACTTGCCATTGACATGAGTCTACCTGGCAGAGTTATAATGGTGGTTCGGTCAAATCACTGGTTAGAGAGATTTGTGTAACTGAAATGTTACACGTTCAGACACTGAATTATCCTCATGTGTGTCTTGTCTAACCCTTCTATTATTCTCAAATAGAGGGATTACACCTATTCAAGGGGCTGTACTCTTATTTCTTGCTGTTGCTGATTTGTTGGTTTTCCTTGAGTGATGTGCCTACTAGGGCCCCTGTTGTCAATGCATCTCTCTCCAATGTATCGTTTCCCGTGTTTGTTATATTAAACTTGAGGGAACACATCAGTCAGTTTGTAAGTCTGTAGGGTTGCGTAGTAGTTATGACTGTATGTTCTGTATGTCTGGAAAAGTGCTCCAACCATGAGCCAATATATATGCATCATCTAATGATGAACAACCATGCTGTCATTCTTTCTATCTGACATCCGGACCTGAGAAGTACTTCCTTCTAAAGGAAAATAAACTGTCTAATAAAGCTTATGAATAACCAAAATTTCTGCTTGTCAATGAGTTCTGGTCTCGTAACATATCTAAATTTGCAATTTTAATTGAAATGTTGAACTAAAAAAGATCCTTTCAGGGGCATTCTGGTGGATTAGTGGTATGATGCATTATCTGCGGTGGCAGGGGACATTTGTTGCATGTCATTCCTCCTTTCTTTCCCCGTGTTTGCTGTCAATTTATATTCTGCTGTCAAATTTAGGAAAAACTGCCCCAAAACAACTGAAAGAAATGTACAAAAATGAGTGCAATGTGGATATAGAGTTTTTGGGAAACTCTTTGTTTTTTTCGTTATATCTGATGTTTTGTTTGCCAAGAAGATAAGACTTTTACTGAGAACGTTCTTCTAAACTGATATGACACCAACGGAACATCGCACATCAAATCAGTTGGAATTTAACAGCCTCAGCTCCAGTCTATAGTCCCAGTGCAGACCACCACTATAATACAGACTCCATGTTGTCACACAGCTCGTGGTCCTCCAGGTTGTATATGAACTTTGTCCTGTTGGCTGGGTTCTGGGTGATCTCCTTGCCCAGATTGTCTAGAGTCACATTAGAGGCAAAGAGTTCGGTGGGTGTGAGATAACCCTCGCTGTTCTTGATGTATTTCTTGTAGTTCTTTCTCAAACACTGCCACGTGGTGGTGTACAGGATGAAGGCTGAAGACTTGAGGACAATGGCGATGCTGACGTACAGATGCCTGTAGGCCACATTGTCGTACAGCATACAGGCTCCCTTCTCACCGCAGACAGTGCTCCAGAACAGACACGTGGAGTCGATACCCATGCCGAAGATTAGAGGGGGAGGGATGAAGCCTGGAGCAGGAGGGGAATGTGGACAGACAGCAGGTCAGGTCAAAAAGAATCCCACTTTGAGTTCAGGTTTCCTTTATATACACACAGACAGACCAATAAAGAGTCACCTGCCTCTTGAATTGTCTGTTTCCCTTTACATAAATGAAGACACTTCTACTATAAATTTCTCCAGAACAACTCACCAGAATGCAGGAAATGACCTTAACCCCCAGGACCTGTGTCCCCTCCAATATTGAAATGAAACTTACGCCCTTGCATGACAGTAAAGTATAAAAGTGAATATGTTCAATTCCTTACCTATCAGTCTCAGGAGCAAGAACAGGACTCCAAGGGCATAGGATTTAAGCTCTGGACTTACAGTTCTGAAAAAAAGACAGAAGTGGTGTGTACTGGTGAGCTCAATACTGAGTTTCATTCCCAGTGAGGTCAAACAAGTGGTAGACCCTGTGGTTAAAGGATAATTCAGATTTATCAAAACCTAGGTCTGATTTCTGCAGCTTTGGCCTACATTTCTTTCAGTTATGATTAACATTGTTCACACCACAAGTAGTTGCTGTTATCTGAGAACATGTCGACAATGCACCAAACAAGGTTGAAATCAAACACAACGAGAGTTACAGTGGATGAAACCATCATTATTATAGACATCACTTTCATATCTGCACAATTAATACAAAGCTAGAGTTTTCCAGTGTCCTTGCAAACTAACTGTGACGACGAGACTTGGTGCCCTGCCAACAAATACTCTTGCACATAACTCCCACGTAAACATGTCGTTTTTACACTTCTTTGTTTGCTCAAATTTCACAAACAAAATATAAAGTGTTAATTGTTAAGCTTTAGAGGTCCTGGTAGGTGGATTTAGTTATTTTTGGACAGAGCCAGGCTAGCTGTTTCAACCTGTTTCCAGTCTTATGCTAAGCTAAGCTAACCAGCAGCTGACTGAAGCTTGTATTTATTGGACAGACATGACAGTACTGACCTTCAAATCTAACTCTTGGCAAGGAAGCAATTAAGATTATTTCCCAAAATGTTTTTCTAAAAATCTGAATAATCCTCTGACTGCCCGTGTTCAATTCCCTGCTGCCTTCTTTTTAGCAATGTTGCCATGTTCCCAGATCACAGCAGTTAACTTGGTTAGTGCAATGCTTTTCAATCTGTAATAATAATGTACTTCTATTTAAATGTGGCCACTAATATTAGAATAAGTAATAAACCTGAAGCATTCTTTAATATGTAGAAAGATAGGCATTATTTACTATATCTGTGTAGAGTGGTATTCATATTCATGTGATCACCTGCAGCTCTGTACCCTACAATGTTCTTTGACAGGGTACGCAACATAATGTTACCCTGTGTGTCAGTATTATCTTTCTCTGTACCACAGATGACTGAAGTGACTCTGATTTCATCATTTTGCCTTTGATTAGCCATAAGTGTCAAGAGCTCCCTCTTGTGGGCAGTCTACGTATAGCAACAGGTCTCCTTACCTGATAAGGATGATGACAGAGGGTGTCTGGGCCATAGCTCCGATCATACTGCACACGCAGATAACACACAGAAAGGTGAGAAAGGCCTGCTGACAGCCTGGACTGGGACACTTTCCTGGTAAAGCCACCGCATCTTCACTGGTGCTGGATATACACGTACAGCTGGTCAGGTTCTGACACAAAGACGAGAAATTGAATCAAAATGTTGTTATCCCACTTTGAATATGTAGATCTAAAGCATGACCGCTGCACTGTATGTAAGTAAGTAAGTCAGTAAGATGTATTTATATAGCACCTTTCACAGGTAATAACTGTGCTTCACAATAAGGTGAGATACAATTTATTAAAATCTGAAAAAAATAGTAAAAACATAAATTAGATAGCCATAAAACTCTTGTCTAACTAGAAGCCTGTTTGAATAACATATAGTCTTCAGTTGCTTTTTATTATAGAATCAACAGAATTTAAACACACAGAAAGGGAGGCAATGCATTTCACAGCCAAGGTGCCACTGCTTGAAATGATCAATTGCCTTTGGTCTTAAAATGAGTGTCGGGAACCACTAATAGCCTCTGACCTGATGACCTAAGATGGGAGTATGAAGCTGTATCAAGTCAGAGATGTAAAGAGGAGCTTGTCTGTGCAAGGCTCTGAAAGTAAGGAGCAGTATTTTAAAATGAATTGTAAACTGGACTGGAAGCTACAACAGGTGTAGTGTGCACTCTTTTGCTAATGTGAATTAGAAGAGTTCTAAATAGACTGGAGACGGTAAAGCCTCTTCTTATTCAAACAAGTAAGTAAGTATGTTTTTTGTCCCTGTCATTTAGTTTTCTCCAGTGTCCAAGGTTAGTCATGATACATCTTGTTTCAGTGTTAACTTCTTCACTCACTGGTTTGGTGCAGCCTGCAAAGCAGGCTGAGAGGTAGGTGACTCCATTGGAACCACAGACAGGGCTCACTGATGCTGTGTAGCAGTTACAGTTATTGATGCACGCTGACTCAGGTCGCTGCCAGGACAGCAACGTCCTATGGAGGAGGTCAAAAGTCATGTTAGGTAGTATATGTATGGTGTTCACATCAAATGGAAATAAACACAACAACAATTGTCTCACTTTTGTATAATTTTGATGCTGCATGGACATTAATTTATAGATACATTTTTAAAGAATAAATCAGCAATTGATTACATATTGAACTCTATGGGCAGAATATTTAACCGTTGTACACTAATGGCACAATGTAATCAGTAAATTATTATGTAAAGTTTCAACCCATAGAGTACAGCACTTAAGCAATTTTCTCCCCTGTGGGCTTGTTATCTGTAATTTGAGACATCATATTAAAGATATGAAGAATTGCTGATATTTTACTGTTAATGCACAATTATGGTGAAGCTCAATAAATCAGCAACAAAAACCTCCCTGCTTGACATCTTGTCTTCCATAGTGACAAGAGTGGTCTTTTTTGGCTAACTTGAATGCTGAATGAAATATTAATGCAAACAAAACAACACACTTGCAATACATTGTATTGTTTGTGCATTTTCTTTTTTAACCACGTGAGAGCAGTTGCTTTTTTTTGTTGCATATTTTTTCTATTTAGCAGGTATGAAGTGTAAGCCATGCATAACTATCAACAACAAGACCCGTATAGTACTTTGGTCCTTGAAATCCTTGAAAAGACTCCTCATCAATAGGTTTCTCTGCTTACTCGTTGCTGTAGGCGACTGTAACCCCGGCGACAGGTCCGGTGTCACAGCCCAAGAAGAGAAAAGAGACGTAGCAGGCGGTGGACACCAGGTTGACAAGCATGGCCATGCGGACAGCGCCCAGGGCTGACAGGTTCAGCTTCTTCACCAGCAGCCCGCCAAGGAAGATACCCAGACAGGCACAGGGGATGGCCGTCATACCTGGGGAGGAAAACACAAGGATGCACAATGTTTCCAAAAATCTACGGACCTTTTTCTTAGTAGAGGTTTGCACTGCACAAGTGTTGTCATTATGCTTCTTACTTATTTTGGTTTGTTATAACTTTAACAGCCTGCCTGATGGTTTAATGGTAAAACACTTTGGGAACAAAAAAGGTTTGCCCTCTACTCAGACAAGATTATGGGACACCTACCTAGCAGCTGATTAGCTGAGGAGGTGGTAAGGTTGAACTGCTGCTCCAGGTATTTTCCCAGGAAGGCAGCAAAGCCAGCAACCACAGCGATCTCCATGCAGGCTGCCAGCGTGATGCAGCTGAACACCGGATTAGAGAGAAGGTGCCTGGTTACCCGGGGGATTACTGGGTCAATGGAGAAGAAAATGGAGACAAAGAGGATATGATTAGTGGTAGAACAGGTAGAGAGAGAGAAAAGAACAAAGAGAAGGGTTAGGAAGGACAGAGAAAAAGAAAATCATGATAATTTCTGAGCTTTAGCATTTACCAAATCTTTTTTCTCTTCAACTCTTTTTTGCTCCTCCTTACCTCTCAGATGCTCACAAACTGTGAGTCCGCTATTTATATCAAACCCGTGAATGGCCCCGTTGGGTTTAGAGCCCTGGTACTCCAGGTTCAGGGAAGAAGGCAGCATGGCCTGCTCACTCTCCCCCCCACTGTCCATGTCCTGCTCATCCAGCGCCTGGGGGAAGCCAAACATGAAGAGGGACGACACGAAGAGTAAGGCACTGCAGAGGAGGAAGCCGCCCCACCACGCCCCGATCCAGCGAGGGTCATCTGGGGTGATGTCCAGCTTACCTGGACAGGAGGTAGGGTGGATGTTGAATTGATGTTGCCACATGAATTGGATTTTAGTAAAAGTAAATTGCACCTGTTAATAATTTTTATATAATTATAGTATAGTATAGTATAGTATTGTGGTATTCCTCTATTGTGCAGTAAGGTAAATACAAATGTAACTATTGCATTGAACAAATGAACAATATTCAAGGCAGAATCTGAAGAAATGCAAATGCCAACTCACTGGTGTCGATGAAAACAGCATCAACATAGACTTTGGTACAGACAGAACCTAAGATGAAGCCACAGGCTGGGCCAAACACTAACGTTGAAAATAAAATACCTGCAAGACAGAGAGAAAGAGAGAATAGACAGCATTAAAGAGCCAGCCAGTTATAATGTAGTATGTTTTTTTTGTGACCAAATTTTTATTGGATTGCCTTTTTTCCCCTTTTTACATTCATTATGGAGGAGCCATCACACATGAAAAGCAAATAACTGAAATAATGTATTGATGCTGCAAAACACATGTACATCTGTTCACTAAGGTTATCACATATGCATTAAAAATGTACATACATTTATATTCACGCAGTGACATGGAATGTAATACAGAAAACATCAATGGTGTGAATAATACATATAAATAATAAATATACTAAAGCAAAGAACCCAATATAAGCACATTTTGACAGTACTGAGTTAATTTTAGGTTAGCTTAGCCGATACTGTGATAAGATAATTTAAAAAAACAAAATGAAAAATCCACCCACTGTCAATCAACTACAATCTAGAAACAAATAAGCAAAAGAATGAATACAGTAAGTGAATTTCACTTCATCTTTCAGCAGAGGGCAGCATTGTATCAAGACTGTAAAGTGGCTGCCCCTTTTATTAATTATGTGGTAACATGGAGCTTCCTACCGCAGAGAACCCTCCTGTTGTTAAACCAACTGTAATACTGAGAGCAAACTGTATTCTATTCAAGGAAAGATTAAGTATTGAATTAATGCCAAGGGACTAAATTTCTTCAGGTGTCTCCCAATGACAGATTTATTCACTGTCACTGTGATATGCAGCTCATAGGTTGCACAGCATAATTAAACCAAGACTATATCTAGTCTATCCAGGGGGGTCATAAATAATCAAGCAGGAAATGGGTTCTTAATGTTTAACCAGTGGGGAACCACTGATGCATTAGCACTGGTTGATTTGCTCTTAGATTTGCTCACAGCTGCCCTGCTTGCTGCTTTGGTTGAGAGGTTTCCAGTAAGCAGCGGCAGACTGTGTGTGGCAGTGGAACACAGTTATCCATGCTGGTGGCAAGTGGAACAATAGGCGTGACTGCTAAGAGCAGAGCCCAGAGCAGAGGAGGCTGCTCCCTACAGATAGAACGAGATGGCCAGTCAATTTTTCTGTGATGTAAGTAATGATTAGTGCTGTGGTTATCGCCTGTGATAAATCTGAGAGCAGAATGGCAGAAAGAAAACTTATTTCAGCCAGCCTTTTTGATTTCTGGTCGCCATTTGAAAACTTGTTTCAGCACAAATGTTTTATTAAGGATCATGTTTAAAGCACTCTGGGGTATTTTTAAATTCTAATTTAGTGGGTACACAGTTTATATTCGTTTTCAAAGGTGAATGTTGGAAAGGTGAATTACAGTTTTGTAAAGATTTCACGTTATCAATTAGGACTAAAAATCACTAGTACAAAACCAGATACCATATTGTCTAGTTTTCACTGGTGTTTTTCAATAAAACAGAGACACGCTAGCGGCCAATTAGCACTTAACACAAAGTACAGCTGAAGCTGATGGGAATGACATTGATCTCGTTTTGCAGGTATTTGGCCATAAAACAAAGAATGAGACAAATAAAAAAAACTGACATGATAATGGTGATTGTTATCGCAATTTATCCTCTGGGGGAAAATTAATGATCTTTACTAAATTTGGATATTTATCCAATGGTTTTTGAGATACTACCACCAAAGCCCCACCGCTACTTGGCATGGCTAAAAAGGTATAGTATGTACATCTCGTAATTGAGTAGCCTAATATGACTAAATCTGAAAAAGACCACAATTAAAAACCTTGGCAAGTGTAAGGTAAGAGTGTGACTCAGTGTTTTTTGTTGTTTAGCGTGAACGTAATATAATTTAAAACAGAGTACTTTAATCATTGGTACTGAGTTCAGGACAATGGTGTTCTCACAGAATATCAGTAGTAGATACAAACACAAACCATACAGAGCAGGGCAAAAATACAAATCTTTAAAAAAGCATTATTATTTAAAAAAAACATTTCATTCCCATTAAGCTTTGCTGTACTAACATACACTAACTGTGACAAATGAATGTGGTACACTCGGACCTATCTCTCTGCCTTTGTCTGACTTTCTCTGTCAGCTAGATACATTATGTTCATTTCAGCACAGTCACTGATGCCAGCTGGGCTGAATTCAGGTGATAGAGGAGGTCTGGGGTTACACCAGGGCCATCTCCAACCAATGAACAACCTCCCATCTCCAAATCTGCCTTCCACTAGGATCAAACACAGGACAACACAACTAATCTATAATGTATGTGATGCAGGGAGGCTGGCAAATACACACACACAAATGAAAACGGCAGTGAACCTGCGGAAAATGTTGGATCCCAGCCAGTCTTTCCACAATACATAAAAGCTCCACATTCTCTAAAGACCACTGTGGGAACACACAGCTTTATTGTGTCCAGTATACATAACAAAAAGATAAGAGCCTGGAGTGGCCTTCAAAGTGAAACAGCTGATGAGAACAGCAGCAATAAGCACGATGACGGAGCATTACTGTAAAGCTTTGCTATACCATGAGAAAAGACAGTGAGCTCATAATCCTATAGCAACAGCTGCTAGACTCCCATCAGGAGAAGCATTCAAGACTGATGCCAGTCTGTTGTTTGGACTCAACAGTAGATCTACAGTAGATCTAAAGCCCATTCCTTGGAGAGGGCTTTAGAGGCTCATAGCAGTAAAGGAATGTGTGTAGGGAGGTACTGGTGCTTTAACCATATGGTACAACCTTTGGCTACTGCATAGTAACAACAATATACAGTATCTGAATCTTGTAAAATGTATTTTTGCTGAAAGAAAGATTGATTTGGATGGGGGGACTGTTGAAATAAAAGTTGCTGCATTGTAGTTTGACAAAGCAGAAAACCACTGCAACAATTTCGGAATTATGATGTGCATGCATTTCTAAATACATTAATTATAAAAATCAATGCGTCTGAGGTTAATTTTCAAAGGATTGGTTTAATCCTTTTTGATTGCTCATTAGAGGCAGAATGTAAATCCTTCTGGAGTTATTGACTTTGCAATGATTCCAGTTCTGCCTCAGCGTATGGGGACGAAAGCTGCAGATGCTTTCAGTGGTGTCTTCAGTTGAGTTACAGCGCAGCAGCACATATCTTCGGAACATGCAATCAGCAGAATAAGGCACAGGGAAATGGTCGCAACTTTAAAACTAGCCTTTGTGTGAGATCCTGAAAAAGCTTATTTACTCCCACTTAGGTAGAAAAATAGCAACACACATGCAGAAAGTTGGGAATAGTATGCCTGAATATCTCTAAAACAGTATCAACTACAGTTTGCATTTTGGAAAAAATAAACATGATTACATTAAGTTCATCATTAAATAACTCTTGTTTAGTCTGTAAAATTTATTCAAGGAATTGACTCCCATATGTTTCTAAACTACCTCCATCAGTTAAAACATAGTGCTATCAGTCAGTTTCAAAATGAATTGTTTCTCCAAACAGTTGTGATCTTATTTTTAGCATGTGTGGAATTTGAATGTTTGTGCTGTTGCAAATTAAATAGATTTTGATTAATTTTAGTTTTTTAAAACCTGTACTTTTTTTTCCCACAATGATTTTTAGCTAAAATCATCATAGCCAACATAATACAAGAAAAATGGGGAGAGAAAACTGTTGGTTAATGATGGGGAATTAATTCTGACACCCACCTCAAAAACACACTGTAGGCTGTTGTAGCAGTACATGCTTTGCCCAGGGGATGCTTTGCACTATAAAATATTTCCATATACACTTGTTTCTTTCACACTTATAACTTTGTGTCACATAAACCTAGATGACTGAAACTAACTGTAAGAGAAATATATATTTCACAGGTTTATTTATTAAAGTACAGACACTTTAGGACATGTAAGAGATTTATAGATTACTTAGATATTCTTGTAAAACTCTGGCAGCTTATCTGACCCAGCCAACTGGAAATGGCAGGTAGAGACACTCCACTTAAGCTTAGAGCTTTTAGAGGATTTGACTACATACATGCATTAGGTCTGCAACTTTTTTTCTATAACACTAGTATTACTGTTAAACATTAAATGTACTGAATGTATTACTTTTAAAGTAAAAAAATATGTCAAGCCAACTGCTTGCTAGATATCAAACTATGCTGACTCATTGGATAGTCTTTTATGGAGTTAATGAGATGTGAATAATGCCAGGGAGAACTTTTAACACGGTTTAAAATGGTGGGTCAGCTTTGTGGGGAGTCCACTGTGACAGGTCACATCATACATTTTTGGTTAGATGCCTGAAATAAGGTCTGTGGCACGAGGTTAAGAGATGTTCACGTTGTATGCTACAACATAAAATGTGTCAGTAAAAACCTTATGAATTTTGGAGCATTTAGTTGCAAACAAGTGGCTAAATGAGACTACAAATGTTGTCAGGGACATTTAAGTTAGGGTAGGTAATGTATTTCAGAAGCGTTTAATGTTATAGTTGTTGAAATGAAGCATGAAGGAACCTTCTTCTCGCTGTCTGAAAGATAATCATGCCAATTCTTCATTTACTTATTTTCTAATTTGCTCAATTTTCCCCCTCGGGATCAATGAAGTTTCATCTTTTCTTACCTAATTTATTCATTGACCTAAAAGTACTAGATTTAAATATACAAGAGTCTATAAATACGGCCTATAAAACACAACCATGTATATGTTTTAAATTATAGAACGTACAGTAATCTCTCCCCAGGGAGCTAAAACCCTCAAATTCATTGAAGAAATACTGAGGACATGACATCTGTGTCATCAGTTGGTACCTACAGCCCTGATTGCAAATTATTATAGAGTTCTAATCTACTGAAGACTCGCATAGATATAAAACCAGGAATGTAATAAAGGGAAGTTCAGTTACCCACTTTTACTACAACAAGCAGTACCAAACTGGTTTGTATAGTGTTCATTTGAAATGAGAATATAAATTATCAGTGGTCACCTGGTCATTTTTATTGTTAATATTGTTACATTTGGTCGAATAAAAACAAAAGTGATA